ATATTTCAAATTTCAAATTTTTTTTCTGTACGATTTCTCTACGTTAAAATTTCTGTACAATTATTTTTGTATGGAAATTGAAATAACTATACAAAAACTGTATGATTTCAGTATACACTGTACGAATTCAGTACGAAACCTGTACAATTTTTTTTTCATAGGACGTATAACGCTAACTCTAGTTTAATATTATAAAATGGATTATGGACTATTCCACAAAATTTACATTATTTAATTTTCTATAAATCAGTTTTGTCTAATAACTGACTTGACTGTAAACATGATGATTATATTATTCAATGAATGTCTTATAAATTAACAGTCAATGAACATATATATTACGGACATCTACGTTAATTTTAAATCAAAATCTTAACTGTTACCTTACGATTTTGACTAAAAACAATCACTTGACTGCTTAGAAAGTTAGTGAAGTAGTATGAATATTGAATAATAATAATGCTAGTTTTCTTGAATCATTGATTTTCCTCTTTTCTTGCTAATAGAGCTCTTAATCTCTGTAGCTTATGTTCTAATACGATATATTATAATATGCACAAAATCTAGTATTTGATATTAGCTGCTAGAAAATTCTCTTTCTTTACCTTGCAATGCAAGCTTCTTCATCCATAAATATACATTGTGAAGTCCTTCTGCTCGAGTCAAATGATTATTATTAGGTTAACTGTATTGCGTATTTGAACAAGATAATCTGTAAATATCATGTATAGAGCTTTAGCGATTTCTAAATTTTGATAAAGTACGATTTGAAGAGGGGAGTTAAATTTGCTTTGGCATGCATATTCAACAAATAAAAAAAAAATTTTTTTCATATTGTGAACATTATGTCAATGAAGGAGAAAAATATACAGTAAGTCCAAAATTGAATTAAGCGGTATAAATGGTAATATAATCAGCAATCTTGCATAGAATCATCATATAAATGAAATCACACCTCATTCAACTGCACTAAAGTGATCAATGACTTCAACAACTTCAATACAAAAGCTACAAGCCAATTTATACGCAAGGTAATCTGAATATCTCTAAATATTTATTCTGGTTATTAAGATATAATTTTTTTTAAAATTTAACGAAGATGAGAAAAACATTGATCATGTACTGTACAATATGTCATGTCATACAGATCGTCATGTAATAATTAATTAATATAGTGTATCAATTGCCCAAATGAACATAATGAACATTTGGGATATCCTAAATAAAAACTTCGGATAATATTCGATGAACATTTCGGATAATATCCTTGATGAACATATTTTTTGGGATATCGAACATTTCGGATGATATACCTGATGACCATTTCAGACAATGTCCTAAATGAAACATCTCTGATGATTTGGATAATATCCCAAATGATCATTTCAGACACGATCTTTTCGGATTGTCACAAATAACAACTTCGCATAATATCCCTAATGAATATACCAAATTACCTCTTCAGATTATATCCAAAATGATTTTCGGTTAATGTCCAAAATGACCACGGACTTGTAGGAAATCAGGGATATTTAAATCACATGACATGTTCTGCATTTGGGTCATAACATATATAGAAATATGTATTTCTGCAAATCGTTTAATATTTAAATAAGACTTTAACTTTGTTGTTTCGTAACTAAGACTTTATTAATTCTTTACAATTAATTTAATACTAATTACTAAATATTACATTTAAAAGTAAAAGATACAAATAATTTATTAATTGTTTACAAATTCAAAATATTACTTTAATACTAATTTACAATTATACATTTTTACAACTGAACTGCGAAGATAATGCTTTACGAATTGAACCAAATCATGACCAAGTCGAATATTTATCATCAAAATTTGTGTAAGATTTGGTTTCGATTTAAAAATTTCTACAAAGAAGTATAATCACTTATCTATAATAAGTAACTCTTATTGCTGAATAATTTTTAAAAGTAAAATGAAATTGGGATCCTGTCCTAAATTTCAATAATAAAAAAAAATGAACAAATAGTAAGAAAAAGGATTTTTTTTAATAACAAATCTAATGATAAAATCTACCTGTGAATAATATTGACAGTACGCTCATCTCACATGATGTGTTGATCATCGTAAATTTAGTCATATATTATTTTTTATTCATTACAATTTTCCATAACTTAGTAACTATAGATTTGGCAATGTAGCCAAATGCGTTAACTTCCGAAATGAAGATTTCGGATATCCCAAATCAGAATGTGAATTTGGGATATCCAAATGCGAAGATCGTTACAAATGCGCATTTATCCCAAATGATCTTCACATTTGAGATATCAACAAATGTGCATTCCGATTTGGGATATCCGAAATAGTACAATATAAATCTTATTTATTTAGCAAGACTTAATAGAGCAAAATAGCGCAACCGAAGTGTATTTCGAGATATTGTAAAGAACTGTAAATAATCAATTATAATTTTTAAATTACGAAAAGTTAATTAAATTAATAAATTACATTCGTAATTTCTTTACATAATTTTAATAAAAATTCATATCAAATTTATTTAACATTATATAGTCTTCTGTGGCAGTAAAATTTCTATCATAGATAATTATCAAGCGACGCTTTTTTTTTATATATTGACACTCAAATGTATAAACTCATTAAAAGAAAGGGAGCGTGCGTTTCATGTTTTAATTTATCTTTTTGAACTGATAATTTCCTCAAAAAGCAGGAGTGATTTTTTATTACGACTTCTGTTCATGATACTATCTAAAGCCCATACCTTGTTCTAAATGGTTGTTCTAAATGGTTATTATTGTAGTCACACCGTCTGAAATGTATCAAGTCGTCTTTATTTTAGTTTTTTATGTAATTTTCAAATTATTTAATATTTTGAGGTATCTTTATGTTTTATTTAGCCTTTTGAACTGATAATTTTCTCAAAAAACAGGAGAGAGTTAAATTACGACTTCTGATCATGTTTACTATCTAAAGCAAATCGCTTGTTCTAAATGGTTTATTATTTTAGACACACAATCAGAAATGAATCTCAATTCTGTTTTTATTTTTGTCTTTTATTTACGTAATTAAAATCCAAATTAATATCAAAACTATCAAAACGATATCTTTATGTGATGTGAATAGAATATTCAATCTCATTGTATATTTAATAGTGTAATTAGAATCACGATGATTTCATATGGCTTTATACAACATGTGAACAAGTAGAGACTTTCTTAACAAGAAATAAAATATAAATACACGGTAATAATGGTATAGAAAATATAATAACAGCGCAAAACAATTTGAATTTTCATCATAAAAATAATAATTTCATCATGATCCAGAAACGGTTTATTATTTTATTTACTTTACTTGTATTTTTCATTATGAACGTTAAAAAAACTCACGGCTGTCATCCTATTGGCAACTTAGCCTATAATGATTATCAATGTCAAGTAGAATACAGTATGTAAATAAAAAAATTGTTGACTTAATATTGTGCTTATTCTACGTATGAAAAATTAATGTGCTTTTTGTTTTGATAGATGGTGTTAAACTTTCTCAAGTCTTATGGGATCCATATTATCCAGTTTTTGAAATCACGACTGATGTTCCTCCTGGAGGACATGAGGGAACAGCTTATGCAGAAGCACTTGGACACTTTTCCTTATCCATCGCCGGTGATTCAATGAAATTTATAAACAATCCTATATTTGTTAATGGCCATCATTGTGATAAACGTGGTAACTCAGAAGTTAATCCATTCAAAAAATCGTTCTTATATGATGAAAAAAATAGACCTGCAAATGGATCAGTAGCAGAATATTGGATTTCAATATATTGGAATTGTAATGTAGAAGATATTAAATCTATAGAATGTTGTCATAAAGATGTTTATTACACAAATACTATAAATTACGGTTAATTTTAATTATGAAATCGAATCTTTTAACTGTTGCAATTCAGAATAACATGATAGCTAGTATTATATAGGAATAATATCCAAATATGGTAAGATTTTACGCTTACCAACTTATTCTTTAATTTTTTTGTTTATAAGTAAATTTTCCGATCTTGTAATTGATCACAAGGTATAATAGCTTTTTAATTAATAATTCAAATTTTCAAAAATTATTACTAAAAGCAACGCGTTTTTACATAAAGATTTTGCCATACTTTTAATTATGGATCCTACTTTATTTCTAGAAGCGTTAGTTTCTATGATATTTATTAATTTCTCTACGTTTAAATCAAAGTATTTCAGTTATGTATAACTTAAATCAATTCATATGAAACAATTTTATTTAACATCAAGAATACAATTCATTTTGGAAAATTGTTAATGAATGGTTATGAAATATTCCAAAAACAACAAATATCTGTAAAGGATAATATCTTAAATCATTAAAATTCTCAAACTATTATTTGGTCACGTGACAATAATTGTCAAGAAGTACTTATAGGTTAAAAATAATGTGGGCGGTGAAGAAGAATGAATTGAAGATATTTAGTTAAAACAACCATAGGTTTAAAATTAAATAATTTACTTAAACTTCCTGAGCTTTAATAAAAATTGCGTGTTAGTTTATCCAATTTTTCACATTTTTATGGAATCTCATGTTGTTTGATTGATTGATTTATTTCAAATGACTGTCTCTGTTTTTTTTTATTAAGGATGAAACTTGTGCTGCACACAGTTCTCAATTATAAACAAAGAAATGTAAGCAGAAGGTTTATTTATTAAATGTTTCTTTATTAATAACTAATGAAATCTAACATAAATTTACGTAAATAAGGTATTGCCTCAATCGTCGGCGCTCTATACGATCAGATACGTAATTTGTTATATATTTTCGTTATTCGTTACAAATAAAAGGGAAAGGGGATATATGCTATACCCAGTGATGTCCATTTCCTATGTCCCAAGCATTTGCTGTCCCAACTATATGTCCCAACTATATGTCCCAACTATGTCCCATATAAGTCCCAAATGTCCCATCTGTCCCATCAATGTCCCATCAGTGTCCCATCAGTGTCCTAACTATGTCCCATGACAACACTGGTCACACCATTTCATGGTCCTGAAGGGTGTAATTATAGAGGGAGTCGACTGTATTGAATAAGATTGAGGAGATGAATCCAGATATCTCTATCAATGTCTAAGAATGAAAAGAAGAAACAGCTACACCAAAACCTGTGATAGCTAGTAAAAACTTTAAAAGGCAGCATAAAATTCGTCTATTGGCCCTTACAGATATTACTAAAGATAATGAGATAGATAAGTATGGTCAAAAGAACCATTTTCTTTGAATCAAAAATCATAACAGATTAATATATGGTGATAATGCGTATAAAGAAAAGAAATATTTATGTGATGGATGCACTATAAGCTAGCCTTCTAAAAGTCTCTAGAACATCATTTAGAATGGTGTCCAGGAATATATGAAAATGCCTCTCAAAGAGTCACAATGCCAGTGAAAGAAATCAATGATTATGAGAAGTTCAAAAACTATGGTCGAATGATCAATGCTCTATGTGTTATTATAGCTGACTTTGAGGCTGATAATAAGAAATGTAATGAGACATATGGTGGAAGTATGATTAAACTCACTGAGTAGAAGGCCAACAGTTTCTGCTATTTGGTTCACTGAATCAATACTAGAGATGTCTAGGGTCTATTCCTATATAGGGAAGAAAATGTCATACAAGAATTTGTTCGAAGAATCGATCAAGAGCTGGTCAAAATCAATGAGATTTTAGCCATCAAATATGAGCGAATTGAAATCGAAGAAGATAAGAAAAGATTTGCTAATGCTATTAACTGTTAGATTTGTAAAGGTAAGTTTGATATAGATATAGATGAAATTGAACGTCTAGAGAACAAAATAACCTATCTTAAAGAGAAGCTAGAAAAGTTTAAAAAGGGTTCAGCTGAATATAATGGCATTAAAATAATCATTAATAATGTGACTAAAGTAATTGCTAGCGAAAAAGCTAAAGCTAATAAGGTCTGGGATCATTGTCATATTACAAGTAAGTTTCGTGGATCAGCCTATAGGGATTGTAATCTCAAACTTCAAATACAAGATTGGAAGATCCCAATTCCAGTTATATTTCACAACTTTCGAGGCTATGACTCTCACTTGCTTTGTGAGTCTGTCAGGCGATCAGCTAATGCTCTTCATATCCAAGTTATAGCTGAAACATTTGAGCGATATAAGACTATGAAGGTAAGTCAACTCAAAT